GAACCTGGAGGTCACAGTGAAGGACCTGCAGCACCGTCTGGATGAAGCTGAAAATCTGGCCATGAAGGGAGGAAAGAAGCAGCTCCAGAAACTGGAAGCTAGGGTATTCCTTTGTTTTCTTGTTTTGTATTTAGCATAATTGTATCCCTATTTGTTATGCTCTTTGTTTTTTAACCCAATTCATACTCATATATCAGGTGCGTGAGCTTGAGGGAGAAGTTGAAAGCGAGCAGCGACGGGGAGTCGAGGCCATCAAAGGTGTTCGCAAATATGAAAGAAGAGTGAAGGAGCTCACCTATCAGGTTGGAAGATTTTCACATTTGATCATTTTACAGATTTTCCTTATGCATGCAGCAAAATAAATTTATCATTTACTACCTGCAGACGGAGGAGGACAAGAAGAATATTGTAAGACTACAAGATCTGGTGGACAAACTGCAGCTGAAAGTGAAAGCATATAAGAGACAGGCTGAGGAAGCTGTAAGTCAAAGGCCCAGTTCACATACAGTATGGCATGCACCATTCAAAAATACATTTTTCAGTATTATTTTACGTCACACTGCTCGTTTAATTTGTTCCCAGGAGGAGCAAGCCAACGCTCACCTCACCAGGTACAGGAAGGTGCAGCATGAGATGGAGGAGGCTCAGGAGCGCGCTGACATCGCAGAGTCCCAGGTCAACAAGTTGAGGGCCAAGAGTCGGGAGATTGGAAAAGTAAGTAAAATTTACTATCATTGAGCAAAAATACTTTTGTCAACAGAAGCAATTACTGTTAGTTTCATTTTAAAAGGTTGCTGCAACTTTTCAGTCAGAGTTTAAGTGTTATTCATTGTTTTTTTTATTGTACCTTTAGGCAAAAGAGTCTGAAGAATAAGCTGAAATCCTGATGGGAGAACAAATGAGAATCATAAAATATGATTTTTCATTGATGTGCTCTCATTAACTGTGCAACAATAAATAAATTATTCGACACATTTGTTGCCTCTGAATCTCTGTTTCTTTGAACAAAACATGGTTAATGCCATCAGCTAACACAGACACACACTTCTATACAAATTGAGGACTTTTTATTAACTTCAAATCATTTTGGCAACTGCATTTATGCCTAACGCAGAAATTTTTACCAAAACTTAACCATTACTTGTCTATTCCTAACCCTAACCAACCCAAAACCCAAACTTAATTCATACCTTACCTCTAAAACTAACTAGTAGAGTTCAGGAGAACTGCAAAAAAAAAAAAACAGAGGACAGGGGAAAGGTCTTCACTTTCCACAAATGACCTCATTTGGTTGGTAAATGTTGTGGTGCAGTCCTCTATAAGTATTATAAACAAACAAACGCGCGCGCACACACACACACACACACAATATCCTGTCCTTATTTGACAAAAGGGCCCCCAAAACAAGGACCACCAGGCATTGTCAAGTTTTTGTTCATAGTAAAAGCTTAAATTTAATTCAGATAGGTTTATTTATTTATTTATTGATGTGGCATTTAAACAGTGATCATCTTATACTTAGGGGCTCAACATGTGCCAAGAAAATATTCCCCAAACCATATCACCAGCAGCAGCTGTACCTACTGATACAAGACCCAAACTCTGAATCCCACCAATCTGAATGTCGCAACTGAAATTGAGAATCATCAGACCAGACATTTTTCCTGTCTTTTATTGTCTAAGTTTGGCATACAGATTAGAGCCTGTTTTCCTGACAGCTGCCTCCTCCCAACACGTTACTGACAATAAATCAGCATTTGTGACACTCTGTCTGCTGAGTTATGTGTTCTGATTAAAGTTTCTTTTCACCAAACACACATGAGGAATTCAGAAGTTTGTGAATATTTCTATGGATCTTTTCATTTCTCACTCATAGACACAGTTAAACACGGTGTATTTCTTTTCCGCTTAATATAGCGAGACTCTCAAATAGCAGTTAAAAACTACAGTCACCTGTCTTCTATGTAGAGGACTTGATGAACTCTGTATCAAATTTACATGTGTATAACATTTGCATTAACTAAAAAGTTTCTATTTGTTTATCCAACTATACCCCTTCTTAATTTTAGTCTGAGTTTTTAAAAATTTGTCATAAAGAAACACAATTTATAGGGCTTAATGCACTCTTTCAGTTTCACACACATATACTTTAAAAGGTAATTGATGTTAAAAACACATTTTATGAGTAAATGTAAAACAAATATTTAAAGGTAAATTTAATTTGACATTAGACAGATAAAGTGATAGAGAGATATTCATTTTACCAGAGAAGAAGTCTTCATCTCTCCTGAATTCTCCATCTGTTGTCTTTCTCAAGTGGGAAGTAGTGTTTGTGTGGCTAGATGGGGTCAGCATGATGTATTAAAATGACAATAAGATTCAACTTGCTTTGCCAAACACTGAGGCTCTGATATCATTGCTAAATAAGTTGGCTTATGCCTAATGAAGCTGTGTTAGGAAACACAATGCCTGATGGATGGAAAGTATAACTCATTCAAATACCACAACAGAAAGCAGATGGCTGCCAGGATGGGTGGTTTATGGAGCCTTTGAAGCCAAACATCCCATCCATTTCAAAGCTTTGAAGGTCGGTTGCCTATCGTCTTTCCTCCCTCTTGATACCCAAGATCAAGACAGTGAGAGCATATTCCCATTCTGACAATAAAAAACTGCATTTTTGATTTATCATCTGCTGTAAATTCAAAGTTTAATCTTCACAAGCTGATGGTCTCTTTGTGAAAAAGAAAGGAAGTGCTGCTCAATAGAATGTACCGATAGGATAAGATCTGAAGAAAATCTTTCTTTCATTGAGTGAATAACAAACTTAGCACCAGGATGGTTTGCAGTGCTCACTTATTGCATGTACTTACTGTGCACAGTTCAAATTAATTTTATCTTAAGTGCAGTCTACAGCTAATGTTATTAGATGCATTTTGCCTTGACTCTGTCAGTGAAAATAAGTATTTTACTGTAAATATTACAATGATAAGTTATCATAAACAAGACAACAGAACTTTAGTGTAACCAAAACCCATGACCTGGAATATTTTCAAGTCCTTTGCCAAAGGCAAGGACAAAAATAGCCATTAAACAATCCACATACTCTGCATTAAGAGCCAAGCCTAAAGGCTTGAGTGTAAAATCTGCCTGAGGTTCATCCACTAACACACCGTGAAGTAAATTTCCTGGGTGGGAAATATGCACATACTCTGAATTGTATAAGTTTAACATGCACATAATTTGCTCTTTCCTTATTATTAAAATTTTAACTCAAAATTGTAAAACACAGACGGTGTAAAATAAAAATTTATTTGAAAAATATAGCATAAACCAAAAACAATTTGCATAACCCTACACTTCAACCATGTATGTTCTTTTTACTATGCATAGGCAGAATAATTTGTTTTATAATGTTTTTTCTTTTGTTGTGCCTGTACTGTGACAGACCTAATGTGCACAGGTGAGGTCGGCAGAAAAGAGAACGTAAAGGAAGCTATTTGCAATTTGAGCAAAGGAGCTTACAAAAATGATGACTTCCCAGAGGACTGAAATTAGCTCTTAAACTATACTTTTTTTTTCAGAACAAAGACATCATAAGAACCCAGAGGATGCTCACAGTTATGCCTGTTGGATGATTGTATTGTGGAGTCCCTATTTTTATCTGGAAGACTTCTCTAGAGCCAGGAGACAAATGTGTACAATGTTAAGCTGGAAAGGAATGACTATGTGAAGGAGTTGTGAGGCTCAAGTGACATCTAATGCCCAGGATTAGCAAGCAAGAAATGCAAGTGTTGAACAAGTTTTCACATGAAGTTCTTTTGGACTTGATTTATCAACAAGTTTCGTCAGACAGAACATGTTGATGATGATGGTTACTAACTACAAAGGCATTAAATTGTTGAAAAATACAGCATCCAGGGAGGATCTGATGATTTTTCATAAGATTGTTTTTATTTTAATATCTGACTCTTCTATTGATGCTTGTTACTGAAGTAAAATAATTAACAAAGCAAAAGTTATGGGTATGAATGTATATCTAATTTACTTTGAGTTGCAATGATGCATTTGAACTATTTTTCTTAGGTGGATTAATTATTAAACAAATGACTGGTAGATTTTATAATGTTTTTAAAATAAACCACGGTAAATCTTAAATATCTCTTTTCTTGACCAATTCTGAATTCATTTCAACTTGTTAGCGTCCAGCATTGCCATGGTCCGAGAGACAGCCAACCCCAATAACTCCTTGCTTGAATTTCAGCACAATGAAATTGAACAGAAATGTGCTCACATCTGTCTCTTGTCAGATGTGACAGACTGACCTTTCTGGCCAAAATGAAAGGGAGGAGGTTTGTAGGAGTTAAGATTAGGGTTTCAAGCCTGAAACCACCATACGAACTGCCAGGCATGGTGGTGGCAGCATAGTGCTGTGGGGCTGTTTTGTCGTACTGGTGCATTGGAAAAAGCAAAAAGAGTAATAACGGAGGAGGAAAAGCTTCAAATACTAAATATTTCCTCAGAACAATGTTTCCAAGCAGAAATTAAAACTTGTTTAGAAATGTCAAAAGCAGGCCAACATGCTGTTGAAAAATCCTGACCTTTCAGCTACACTGAAAAATTAACTTTCGTTAAAACCAAGTCTGTGGCAGGAAACAACCAGCTTAATAAAGTCGTCAAATATCCGGCAAGAGCAATGTCTGATCTTATTAATAAATACAAAAAAGGTGCAGTTCCCTGATAAGGAACTTTTAAACAAATAATTGTGGAAACATATGTATATATAACTATGTTATATTTAAAAAATGTTCATCATAAATAGCTTCAAATTATTATGACTTTAAAGGTCACTATGAGTGCAAGTTGAAAAAGTGACAAATGGATTATGTGTTCAATTAACTTCTACTTGGGTAAAATAAAAAGTGTTAAACATTAATTGATCAATTTCGGATGGTATAATATATGACAGTAAAATGAAGGTCTAATAAATAATCATTCGGGGCTGAAGTGAAAAATATCAACAGCATTTAATCACCAAAGATATAAACATTTAAATTTCTATTCCTTAATGAGACTGACAAAATCTTTACAAATTCATCCTTTATATTCTGCTGACTGTGTCACACTGTCTGTACAAAATGAGGTGGTGCTGAAGACTGGCACAAAGAGAGGAAATGTTCCAGAGTAAACAACGACATCAGCAAAATGAAAAGCAAAGTCACAGCAAAAACAATCTTAATGTTTGTTTTCCAAAAACTCTGAGGACATAAACACACAGGGTAATTTAATATATATATCAATTTAGACTCCCTGTGCTCTCAGAAACTTCAAATACATTCAGTTTCTATCTGTTATTAAAAAGTTCAAAATAAATAAACACAAAATATTGCATAAAAAAACAATACTGATGTTTTATTTCTCATTAACAAAGCAAGTAAGTGGATGTCCGAAAGTGTGTCTTATTTTCATATACAACTTATATGCGTAATTAACATTCAGTGTTTCAAACAGAATTTTAATCTTTTTTTTTTCTACATAAAAGATATTTTCATTGGGCAGTATGTTGCTCATAACTTTAAACTTCTCTGTACTTTCATTTGCTGCAAAATACCTAAATCCCCAACATGCCGTCAGTCCCTGTAGGCTTCACTGAAGTCAAACTTTCAGTTTCATCTGCCGCCTCCTCTTCACGTGCAGTTTATCTAAAAAGGGTGCAGCCGCAGACCTGCAGAGCTGGATGCAGACATGAATGTAAAACACTCATCAGTACCTATGTACACATATCTGTAAAGTGTCCAAAAATATCATGCAAGTAAATACAGATCATTTAAAGTAAATCAACGCCTCAGTCAAAATTGTGCTGTAGGCTGCAAAGTTCCTCAAGCTCACTTTCCCTTAAGTTACAGCAGACCCACAGAAGATCTTTGTTCTCCAAGCTCCTGTCATGCTCGGGTCCAGAAGAGATGCAAAACAGTTTTAAGTAGATATTTGTTCATTTAATTCAGTCACTCCTAACTGATATGCAAACCTTTCCGGTAGGTGTCTAACATACAAACTGAGTGTGTGCTGATGGGATTAAGTAGAAATCTAGTCTATTCTTTAATTTAAGACGGAACCACAGTGTAGAAATCAATGAGACGAAGCAGGACGGCAGCGAGGTTCTGTCCATCAGAGGATTTCAGGGAGTTTCTGCAGAGCGTCCCCTTGCTGTGCTCTTTCACAACTGTGCTCTTTTTTAAAAATGTCCACGATAAGCATCTTTTAATATTCCTAGGACCTTTTAAAGCTGGACTGCTCCAATTCTTCAGGGTGTCTTTCACGATGAAAGTCCACAGCTGAGATTCAATGCTGTAATCTAAAATGACGAGTGCAGCAAGGCACTGCAGGGTTGAACACCAGGCTGACAAAGAAAAACATTGGTTTACAAGTACTTTTTTGAAAAGTCTTTTAAAATACACCCCAGTTAAGTCAGCAGCCAGGAAAAAAAAAAAAAAAACCCAGACAACTTTAAAAGACAAGAGAGCATGAATCACTGCAGGAGATTCATTCTGGATTTCACCATGTGTACTCTAATCTCTGATATGTCACATTTCCTCTTCACATTGGGGAATGTTTTTTAGATACATCAGCAAAAAAAAGAAAAAAAAAGAGTTTGTATCTAAAATGTTATAACTTTGTAGTGCATTAACTAAAATGCAGGTTGACATGAACTCGATGTAACTATTAAAATAATGTTTTTGTTTCATAAAAGAAAATCAAACCCACATTTTTACTAACCTTTGCCTAAGTACTACCCAATTATGTTGGGTTTATTGGCAGTTGTTGCATTATAGGGTTTGTGAGGAGATGTGAAGCTATGTCAAAAGTACTGTAGTATCCCCTCGTACTGAGGTGGTTTGAGGATCAATGTTGTGACCAAGCACAACCCAAAAAGCTTGTCCCTGTATAAACTCAGTTCAGGATAAAATCGTTTCCTGACTGAAGTCTCTCTTAGGGTACACATAATAAAACGGAAACGTTCTGCCACAGTGAGTCATGCCAAATAAAATCAAGATGTGGTTTCGACAAGCACGTCATATTGACAACACCAAAGCTGTCTATAAGCTACATTCTCCATACAGAAGCATACACAAGTGCATAAATTCAAAATCAACAACATTTTGGCAATGCAGGTTACAAAAAGGTGTCTCAAATGCATAAAAAATGTTGGTCACACACTGTCATTAATTTCATAAGTGAAAGACATTGAGAGTTATTCATTTTTAACATTGTATGAATGCAGAGAGTGAGGATAATACCATTGTGTCTATCAATGTTGTCATTTATGCGGATACATTGATAGTTTATTAAACCAATCACCGATTGTTTGATTCTACTTCCTTGGACAACATCTAACTGAAAGCTCATTAAAAACCCACTGAGCTGCTGTAAAGCATTTCCATAAATCCTATTGTTAACCTTATGACAAAACAAAATGCAAAGATATTTTTTACTGATATGTATCATGAAACATGTCTTTTTTTCACTATATTGGCTTTTCCATGTGTCAACTGCCTCACTTATATGTCTCACTTTAAAGACATATAAGACGAAAACGTGCCCTGGAGACTAGGGGGAAGTCGTCGAGGGTCCTGTCACGTTCGACCCAGAAAACATTTCTCAAACCGTCTTAACAAACGTCAGAGTTGGAGTCAAAGACACTGCAGTGAATGTGAGGTTAAGGCTCAGATCTACCATCATGTAAAAACAGCTGCAGCTGCAGTAGCTGAGCTTCCTGTGCTGAAGTGAGACAACACTGACAAGGACTTAACATGCACACCGAAACAGGCACAAAGGAAGCATGGTGCGTAATTAGTTTCAAACCCATGGATGTGAAAACCGTGGAAGTAACAGCTTGGAATAATAATTGAGCAGAAAAGTGGGGGTGCATCTTCATTAGCTTTAAATTCATGTAGACTTCCTAAAACTTTAGAGATAAGTTCATAGCAGCAGCTGATTTTCTCTCTTTTTTGATTGGATATTCCTTTCCTTAACACTTACTTTAATGGTTACAGTCATTTCCAGGAGTTCCAGCCTAAATTAAGGGCATTTTACCATTTTATTCTTTAACTTGATTCAATCAGCAGCCACAGAGTGGAGCAGATGTTGGTGCTGTTGTTTCACAGCAGGATGACCTCGGGTTTAAATCCTGGAATCTGTTTCAAGTTTGCATGTCTCCTTCTGCATCCATGCATGCAGTTATACTGTCTTACTCCCACAGCTAAAGATGATGAATGTTTGGTTAATTTGTCAAACTAACTTGATCTTTGGTGTGATTTCAGGGTTCTGTTTTGTCTACTGGCCCCTGCAAAAACCAAATGGTTAGACTGTGGCTGGATGGATGAACGTAATGTATTTTTGGTCCTCTTCATACTGAAATTATTTTAAATAGTCATTCAAGATAAAATGAACATTGAATCTGTTTAGTTTTTTTTTTTCTTAAAGAAAATCTGCTTGCAGACTTTTATGTTTAATTCTTTTTTCACCAGTAAAAGTTCAGCAAACTTCCACAGCATGAAATGAGGTTTCCAAATCCGATTTTCTTTGCTCAAATAAATTTCAAAGCTTTACACACTGTTTTCCATGCATGTGATCAGTTATAGAGCTGATTTAGTATCGAAACTGACTGAATGCCAAAGGAGTCCTTTCTGGACAATACAAGCAACGTATAAGAAAACAACATATTTTTGTCTGAAGCTCACTCAGCACCTGACTCTTATATTTACACTTTACAGGCTTCAGGGATGATATATGCCTCAGGTCAGTTTCTGTACAGACAACCGTAAGACACAAATGCTGCAACGCTTTTAAAATACAGTACAAAGTTGGAATGCAGAAACTTCCCCAGTAATAATGTCCTTCTGACACCCTTTGTGATCTCAGTTCATTGAAAGCATATTAAAACAACCAGATTTATAATTCATTGTTATTCACTCCTCTTTAAGGTAAACCTTGACTGCCTCTGTGACCTTTTTTTTTATTGTTAAATGTGGAAAACAGAGATAAAATCTAATGTTCTCAACAAGGTTAAGCTGCATGCATTCGACACATTTCCCTCCAGGATTTTGCATTTGAGCCCTCAAAAAGCCAAGAAATAAGGCAGGGAAATAAGGCAGGGAAACAAATATCAGGGGCAGATACAGGACTTTCCAATTCAAAGCACAATACACTGTGAGTAGTCAGCAAAAAAAAAAAAAAAAAAAAAAAAATTCATCACAGTTGCTGTTTGATCTGACCTTCCGTAGATCCGAGCCTAAATCCGAGGAGATGGAACATGTCAGAGTGTTTGGATGTGTGAGAGATGAAAGAGAGGCAGAATGAGCTGAATGAAGAGAAGGGTTCCTATAGAGGCCTGCAGTGAAGAACCTCGACCACACTCTGACGTGTTTTCCTGAGTGAAAGAAAGAGAAAAACATTGGTAGAAAATCCTTCTGAATGCGTTTTCATTTTACAAACAGAATAAACCAACAGTAAAATTTAGTTGATGTTTGCAAGCTTGCAAATCCTGTTTTAGATGCATATGCAGTTAAAAAAAAAAAAAGGATGAGTACTTTAAAACTAGGTAGCATACATTTCAGTTTTGGGTTTGAGTTAACTCACTTTTGCTGAGTGGAGCATTTTTTTTTAGCCATATGCTGTTGTGCACATCTGCACAGGGAGAATGAACAGCAGAATAACTTGCATCTTCTGTCCTGATGCAGCCGATTCAGTGTTATGTTTCAGTTTATTAACATGCAAACATTTAGCAAACTTTTACCAGAAAATAAGCTTCGTCAGCTGTTAAAAAATAATTTAAAAAAGATTAAAGAACTTTAGGCTTCTTAATCCAAGTGCCATAAGAATTATTGTGATTAAAATTTAATGAATAATGTAAAAGACTAATTTGTTGCACATACAGGAAACAATTCCACGTCCTTCTCGGACCAAAATTAATTAAATTGTTTCCGCTTAATGTTCCATTCTAAGGTGAGAACTCAAAGCACAAATATAAGACTTCCTTCTTACTAAGGCACTGTAGTCAAAGCAGGGAGTTGGACCTCTACGATATCGCGCATTGCTCAGCAGTTCACATGGATTTTCCTCCTGAACTTTTTGCACTGAGTTAGAGAAAGCCAACTGGAAACACATTTGAAATTTCCACTTTCAGATGAGATGAAAACAGCACAGCAAGTGTGAGGGGGCAGAAAGGATACACTCCCTCTTGATCTGGGACAGTTTCTCAATCTCACAGGAGCTGCAGGGCAATGTCTCAGCCACCACAAAGAGCAAATTGGTGTTTTCAATCCGCTTTGAGTGGAACAGCCTGTGGGAGACATTGATGGATAGTTAGCCCACCCGTGCCGACAGAACTAGCCTAAGAGCACAGATAAAAAGTGCACTCAAACATATTTTGCTGATGCTGGAGAAAGCGCTGACCGCGAGCAGTTTCCACAGTCCTGCAGGACGTTGTAGGAGTTGGTGGTGTTTGTGAAGTAGAACTGGCTTTGGATGGTCACACAGCTGCTTTGTTTGGTCTCAAAAGCGTCAATAAAAATGTCATCTAAAAGACAAAATCAACAGATGCTAAGTTCTTGCATTTAAATCATTAAACATAGAAGGCTGAATGGGTCTGAATACTATTTTCAAGACTCTGTGGCTCATTGTGGAGAGCACAAGTCTTGTAGTGAACATGTTGAGTTCAACTTCAGCTTGTTTTTTGTTTTAAATGGTTAAATGTAGTTCTACTGTGAAGCACTTTCGAAGGTCAGTATGAGAAGAAAATATCTGCTTCATCTTAACCATCCTGCTTCTGGAAATAAATAGACCAAGGTGTGGTTACGGCATTGGCTATGTCATGAATGAAATCCAGTAAAAAAAATGGAAGCTAAAGTTGTAAAATCTTCATGTTCATGGATGACTGAGTCACCTTGGTGGAGCCAGCTGCTGTAAACGAGTCCATAGAGAAGCTGCTGAATCACAGACCTAGAACAGAAACACATTAAAAAAAATATGTTCATTTTATAAACATCACTAAAATAGTAAATGTATGACCGTAAATCAACAATGAACCAGGTTCATGTCCACATCTGGACTGATTTATTACAAGCTAGCTCTAGTCTCACCATGCCAGTGTGGACGTCCACCACGCCAAGCTCAAGACGTCGCCTATGGACGGCTGCAGAAACGGTGAACAGTGAGACAACAGTGCAGCTGCCTTCCACCATTTAAACCCTGCCTGCATGACTCACCACATAGATCCCTCTCGGCGCTGCTCCAGTGTGGCTTCTGCTGACCATTTCGCACGCAGACTGGTACTGGAAGGACTGTCGACGGGCGAAGATGGAGTTGTTGTAGAGCGCATACATCAGGAACGGGTCCACATCACCGAAGAAGAGGCCAATCTGAGGTCAAATGCAAAAAAAACGATTCAATTAATTTGTACTTAGGGTTTTTGCATCATTTTAAGCAGCGGAAAACGATTAAACGTAATGTCAGATTTATTCCATCGTTGCAGAAACAAAACAGCCACCTGCTTCCAGTGATCTCTCTGATTGGACATGACGAGGAAGCCGCCATCATCGATGAGATAGCACTGCAAGTCCTAAAAAAAAACAAAACAGTAGCACCAGTTAGATGAACTGTGCCCAGACGTTTTCATTTCTCCCATTTTTGCTGTAACAGCATCAGACACTGCAGACTCAGCAGTAGATTAATATTTATCATTTACTCAATGAGCTCTGGTGTCACAACTGAAAAGAGGAAAAGTTCTTACATCTGTGTTTACTTCACAGTCCATCTCACAGCTTCTGGATGGTCCACACTATTCAGGAAAAACCAAAATCAGAAGAGTTATGGACAACTTTATTCATAGATGCAGAGCACATTTCATTTCATACACTGATTAAAAAAACTCTGTGTTTAAAAAAAAAAACATAAATGGACAAAAACAAAACAAGCAACTACACAGAGAGAACGGCATACACCAGTAAGGTTACATAAGGTGAGGTGAAGAAAATAAAATGTTCTAAATAAAATAGAAAGCCAGGCTGAAAGCTGGATCGTTCTAACGCTGTAATTAAGGACAGAAGGTCTGTGGTGTACCTTGTGTGACCCCTGTCGGTTATCTGACACGTTGCTGGCCAGGATTTTAAACTTGTCCACCCATGCCTCCAGGTCCAGCTTCACTCCAATCACTGGAGAACAATCCACGTAAACACCAGGAGAAGCAATAACATGTGAGTGCTTAAATTAAAAGGTAAAGTGGTTTCCTGAATATTGGAGGGAAGTTGTTTCTCACCTGAAGGCTTGAGCAGTTTTCCTCCTAAATCCACCTCGACAGCTGAACTAACCAGGATTCCTGTGGTGCCATTTTCAGCCCCAAAAGGGTCGTCATCTGCTGCTCAGGACAAACACATGAGGGAATTACTGTATTTGCACGTTAGCTGTCATGATTTTATTTGATTTGTATTCTGCGTTTTGCTGTGTTACTCACAGGGTCTCAGTGAAGGTCTGAACATGTAGCCTTTATTATCCAGGCTCCTTCTGTAGTAATCCGAATTAAACGGTTCTGGATCCTCGTCCCATAACTCGGCAGCTCTAAGGACCAGAAACACAGACGACGAAGCATGTCAAGCAAAAAGGTCTGCGTTCGTTTAAAACATTTCTGCCTCTGTTGCTGATTTTACGCACATGTTGGGAAAAACTCGAGTTATTCCTCCGTGCGTGGATCCGAAAACAGCCAGGAAGCCGTACCTGTAATTATTATTCAGTCGGCATTAGTTTGTTTAGTGATTGTGAGTAGGCTTTGCTTTTTCGCTCACTGTGTAGCCGACTCACGCATTCAGATCCTGTTTCTTCCAAACGCGAGAAGCAAGCTGACCAATAATCCTGGAATCCAGGATAAGGTTGTGGATGAGACCTTGGTCACCTGTAAAATGAAAAAGAGGCAGATTATCTATCTGTGTGTGTCCTGAACTCTAAGGTAGGGACTCTGTGTGTGTGTGTGTGTGTGCGTGCGTGCGTGCGTGCATGAACTCACATTCATCAGACTCTGGGGAGATATCCAGCATGAGAGAGAGGAAGTTCTGCAGGAACTGTGTGTTGTTATCAGAAAGCTGCAGGTTCTTGCAGTATTCTCTGCAGATACAAAAGAATGAATGAAACAAATTCTTTCATTTAAACCACAATCAAAGAAAGTAAAGATGGTCACCTGGGAGCCAGAAAAACATGCCCTGAGGACTCAAAGGAGCTCGGCAACAATGACTGCATATCTAAAGCACAAAGCAGAGACGCTTCTTTGAGCTCTCATGGTTGTCATGATGCTATGTCACACAGACAAACTCCTTCCTCTACTCACACTGGAGCTGCACCATCACATCGCTCAGGTCTGCCTGGATGAAGTTCTCACTGTACGGAGGTAATACCAGACCAAGACTGCAGGTGGCAGCAGCCCAACACATAGAGGAATTATTGAGGAGATACAGCAGGAGAGGAAAAGCTACATAATGTAAAAAAATATATTCTTTTTTGAGTTTACCTGTAATCGGTGTCATTGATTGGAGTCCAGGTGTAGCCTCTGTGTGCCTCATCGATGTATTGCTGCCATAATACAGATGTGTTTGTCAACGTACAGATGTCAAGTTTTGAAAAATATTTTCAGAAACTCTATCATTTCAATAATCCCCAGGATTATTTCTTAGTTTTGGTGTTTAGTGATTAATAGGTACTAAATCCTCCAACAATGTTTAAATTATATATAAAACAGAGGTAAAACAAGAGCTGCATTTTCAGATTTTGATGCTTTCTTTGTCCTTTTCTAAATGTTTACATGTCTCACCTATATAAACCTAATCATATACTTATTTCACAGCAGAACTACTTCCTGTTCTATGCTGCAGAATTAACAGAATTATGTGTGAAAAGTTTACTCTGTATCCATCCACCTCTCTGCCATTCAGTTTGGGCAAAAGTTGATCTGCTTTGAGAGATTATATTAAATTTATGTGAAAATAAGTTCTTAGGGATGTCAGGGGTGTAATTTCTTAACATGTGTAAGACAATGAAGTCGGCTCTTTCACATTGTTTCATAAGACTACTGCAGAGCACTGTCTGTAATGTGGTGCACAGTGACACCAAGTGGTGGCCGTACTATAATTAAATCTTTAAAACCATGAAAAACTAGATTATTAAATAAATTCTATTTATATATTGCCAATTTATTACTTAAAACCAACAGGATATTTGCACACAGTCAAAAGAAATCTGTAGATAACTGATAAATGTAGTTACTGAAAAAGGTAGACACACATTTTTCATACTTGTCAAGATTCAAATTTTCTGTGTTGTCAATTTGTATAATTGTTTTCATCAATGGATAGTTGTACGGAGAACGGAGGGACGGACGGAAGGATGACATTAGATTGGGAGTTTTGATATAAAACAGAAGTAGAATAAAACTAGCTGGAGGAATATATTTCATCACTTAGGCAACAAAGAAGTCTGGAAATATAAATATTGTTTCAATTTACTTACGCCATCAACAGAATTAATGAGAGTTTTTATCTGCATTTCCCCTGGTTTCCCATCAATCATCTGTCGTCGAATCTGAGTAAAAGAAAGTCAATTATTTTTTTGTTTGTTTGAGCAGTCCTTTAGTTACCAGTACAAACAATGGACTGGTGAGAGACCAACTAACTAATAATATTTTGCACTTTTATGTGCTACTCACCTCCTCCTTATTACTGTCCTCTACTTCTGCATCCAGGAAGTCCAAGGTCACGGGTTCAGGGAGATTCACAGGCTGGGACGAGTCAAACAGAAATCACATAAGCCTTCCCAGAAATCCGAAACATAGCGACCTCTCAGTGCTCAGATATGGGTCACCTTCGGCTGGAGATTAGGATGGAGGAGCAGATATCCATTTGGATCGATGGCAAATATGTATCCGTTGGCTCCGAGCTGTTCCAGAGACAAAAACCGAGACTTGAACTGCTCTGCTGCTGTGTGTAGCGAGTTAAAAAGAAAAATTAAGCTGTACATACGTTATAGCGTGGTGTCAGTCGCTTTATCTCATCTAGATGTACATCCACTCCCATGACGCCTAATATCAACTGATTCTGGAAAAATCATAAAGAAGAAAACAGATAAAAATGTTAAATCTGAACTTTTAAGCGTCTGACAATCAAACTAAACTGGGGGGGGAAATAAAAGTTTTCCTACCTGTGAGTTTCCACTCATAGTGAGATTGAACACAGGCAAAGTCCCCGTCACTACCAGGCCGAGACCCTGAAAAGAAGAAGTTCAGAACCACTTATGTATATTCAAACAATCCACGTTTTCTCCAGTGTGTAAGATTTATTTCCTGTGTTTGACTGAGCAGACTCAGAAACTCACCAGAGCGTCCTGATACACGTTGGTCCACTGAACCTGCTTGGCCTCGCCGCCTGCCAGAACCATGGGGCGCCCCAGCACGTCCAGGTACTCCTGATGAAACACACACACAGCCGATGTGAGGGCCAGATCCCAAAACAAAAACACAACATCAAGCCGCAGAGCGGGAACGCCTCAAAACGAGGATGGATGCGTGAAGTAAAACAGTGATTGAGGGATCAGCTGCACCAGAGGAACCAAGCAAACCCACCTGGGTATTAATCCGTATGGCACAGATGGAGCGGATCTCAAAATAGTAACCTGGCAGGCCGCAGAGGGGGGAAAACAGACAGACAGAGAGAAAGAAAAGAGACCGCATGTGTGAGATCAGAGGAAACACATTGTGGGGTTTATGAATATTCTGGATTTGAGTAGATGTTACTTAAAACTGTGACTCAGACACCTAAATCGCACAGACAGGGAGCTTAGAGAGGAATATTACACAGCAATAAATGTCAGTGTACTTATTCAGATCAGGCAAAAAAAAAAATCATAACCATAAAAGCTCCCAAAGAACAAAGATTATGAGATTAAAACTCTGAACTGGTGCTAATCCAGTCCAATCCAATCCAGTTCAATCAAATGAAATCCAGTCATCCAGATTTTATTTCTCCTTTTATCTACATTTAAGATGCTTGGAAATAGCTCCTAAATCATTTCATATCTGTACCCTGAAGTTAAAAACATGATTTGTACATGTAGAAACTGATGTTTCTTTTTTGGATTTTCCTTCACAAAAGAGGTCAGACTCAATTAAACTTTCCTCTGGACTTTGATTGGGCCATTCTAAAATGTTTCGATATAAACCATTAATTTTTAGCTCTGGCTGTATGTTTTGGGTCTTGCTTTCCAGCTCAAAGATAAACTTCATATTTTTACAGTTTTTTGCACCTTCTTCAAGAGTTGTGGTCTAATTACCTCCATTCATCTTCCTAAATCTGGCTAGCTTCACCGTCACACCTAAGAGATAGTCGTCTCACCTAAGCTGTAAACCTTCATGCTTTTTAATTTTTTTTATTTAAAAAATGAAATACAGAAAAATTACTTCTTACACATTATACAAAAAATGGCAACTGTATTTTGATGCGTTGTCAATTAATAAATCTTTTAAAAGAAAAAGAAAATCTGTCCACTTTCCAAATATGAATAACTTTGTGTGCTGATCATTTTGCATTATTTAAAATAAAATACATTCACGTTTGTGGCAAAATGTGGACAAAATAAAGATGTTTGAATACTTTTGAAAGGTGGTGATGCTTGCTTAACTGGTTATGACACCACAGCAATTTCTGTATTTTTTCACAGAAGATATACAGAAATGTTCTGTATTCATCATCATAATGATGATTTTGCACATCATTATGATGTGCATAATGACGTGCAAAATCCATCTAGAAAAATTATGATTTTCCACATGAGGTACATTTAAAAAATTAAATAAAAATAAAAATCAAGATAGGAACCAGTTACAGCAGAACCTCCTGTAGGCTCTTTCATAATGTACCAAACCAGAGTAAAGAATATTGAGTTCAGCTCAGTTTTATAAAATATCAGTTCTAAAACCAGACAAGGGGGAAACCGACATGAAGCTGACATTGCTTACTTTTTGTTTTATCCAACACGTATATTTGTGTAGAATGTCATTCTGCAAACTATCAAAATGTTTTTATGTTTCAGCTAATATGTAAATATCTGTCAGTTTATATTCAGTATGATGTCCAGAAAAGCAATGCACCTACACACAAAAGTTAAAAATGAGCAAGTAAAACAGAAGGTTTAAGTAAATTAGTAAAACTGAGCATTTATAACTGTAACTTTAAAATCTCCTCCAAGAAATTATAGTTCTCCCAGAATAGCATTAAGTTCAAGATGTTTTATTTTGCTGGTTTAATGTCCTAAGACTTGATTAATTGTTCATATTGATTTTGTTGGATGGTATTGTTCTAATCATAAAATATCCTGTTTAAGTGTATCTAATGTTTTTGAGTGAATTTAAGTCAAAAACTGGGTTTGTAGGTCCCATTCTTGAATAATTTAAGACAGGCTACATTTTTCCCTGCTGTGAAGAATTGCATCTTCACAGCCACGTTTCATATAAGGCCTTTCCTAATGAGTTTTTTTGAAGCTCTCACGGTTAAGTCATCAGTCCACATAAGAATAATTGACTGAAGGAAGACACAGCTGGATCATCTCTGGTGGCAGAGTTGGTACTCCTAGCATCCTCCTTAGACTAAATAAGCATCTTTTTTATTTCGTCAAAGTTTTAGTGGATCAGAGTTTCCACATTCACAAAATATGTATACAGCCCGCAGGTCTCTTTATTTATTTCCTGATCCTTGTGAGCTTTCCTTCATGCTCGATATCAGATCTGAGCTATTTGTTTTTCTTACAATTCAACTCAATCGTAACATTTTAGGTTTGCTGTTTTAACTTTTGTTCGGTTTCTTTAAATCTCTGGGAAAATGCAGCATATTCTACCAATTACACCACATGTTCTGCTAAACATAAACTTGAATTATGTCTTTAAACTGTTATCTTTAAAAGTTTACTGAAAATTGGTCAGATAAATAAAAACACATTCTAATACTGTTTATTTTAGTGATTATTTTTTGTAGCTAAGCTAACAGAAAGGACTGGAAGGAAAAAGCGTGTAAAAGGAAACGACGCTGAAATAAAATACTTTTTTCTCCTTTAACATAAAAGGATTATGTCCAAGTGTTTTTTTTTTTATAGTTTAAAAAGTATGTCTACGCAAAACTTATCTTTTTTTTTTTTCAAATGCATGAGGGTAAAATTTTAATCATAATAAAAGAAGGAATATGTCTGCAAACAAAATTATTCAGGTCTTGTAGGAAACAGTGGTTGTATAAAGTATGATGTATAGCTAAAGTCTCTTATATAACAAAATGCTGTTCATTATGCTTTCACTGCTGACTTGGTTTTGGAGCTGCTGTCTCTAAATCATTGAAACGGTCTCTCTTTATGGTGACGTTTTGCAAAGTAAATGGATATAAAACACGGTGATAGAAAAATGTCGGCTCACCTTTATTAGTACAAGCAATCCACTGCAAAGGCGTCACATCGTAATTATGTTGACCCACGGAAAAGGTAAACACTCGGACCTTGGTGGAGGAGGCAGAGAGAAAATAAATGGGATCCAAGCAATAAAATCCATCAATTTCATGCATGGAAGATTGATTGGAATATACCACGATAACACTGACCGTTTTGTTGGGCCAGTTATATTGCAGGAAGACATCCTGAGCCCTATCCTCCCCTCCGTCAGTAAACAGCATAATTATTTTATTGCAGTTAGCCCGCGGGACGTTTGTCTTCTATAAAATACAGTAATACATATGCATGATAGGCTGATACAGAGACAAAACATAGTGTGTTTGGAGCTCGTTTTCCTCCTGGTACAGTAAGTCACAGAGTAACTCACGTTAAGAAGCTGGTTGAAGGCAAAATGAAACCCAGACTTGTAGTCAGTGGTGCCTTTAGCTTGCATTTGCTGCACGGCCTCCTTGAAAATCTTCTTGTTTCGCACGTTAGCCTGGACCAGATGCTTGAAGCAAGGGACCACTGCCTCAGCCTTCTCATTGAACTGAAACACAGCAGGAGACAGTCTGCTGTAAAGTACAAAAGGTGAAGAGGAGTAATGATTCGTGACTAATCACGAGGCAGGAATCCATGCAGATACCAACTCTGGCCACGTTGACGTAGTCGTCGTCAGATAAAGTGTCCAGCATTTCCATCACAGACGCCTTGATCAGTTTGAGCGTGAGTCCGCTGACGCTGCCGCTCCTGATCAAACGCAGGAGGCAACACAAACATGAGCAGTGGCAGAAGAGGTTTCAGTCTTTTGAACTTATTGTTGTAATTAGCCAGAACTTGGTTAAGTGATGTGGTAAATAAGATCTTGGTAGCTTTGTAGTTACATGGAATTAGTACAGTTAAATTTGGATAATGAGGCAAAGACCTAGAACTTAATACAAGGTAAAATTTGAATGTTTTTAAAACATTGACTAGAGAAATGATTGCAGGAGTCACCTAATAAATGATCATGCATCATGTTTGAGTCGGTTTTGCTGTCGGCAGTTCAGGTGATTTGCACAAAGTGGATTAAATAATGAAAATGGAGAACTGTCTCCCTTCAAGTCTGCAGCTAGATGGTTGACAATAATATATAAATAGATGCTTAAACAGGTCATTGGTCAAAAGCGTCCAACGCAACCACATTTAGAAATGACATGTATACAGTGATCTCTTGAATGGAAAATTAATCTGATCATGACTCCATAAAACAGTTTTCCAATCCCAAATTTAAAAAATTCATCATGTTAAAACTTAGATTATCTGTAGGTTACCGTCCCCTGAAGCGCTACCTAATGCACTTCTTCAATTTCCCAGAAAAACCTCAAAAACATGACTCTGTACTTACACATCAACAAGGATGACCATGTCTTTGGGAGATGAAGCCCCCTGGATGTACCTGAGACAAAGAAAGACGTAGTAAAAAACCTAAATCTATCTTTACTTTACAATATGTCAACATATCCAGGGTTTTTTTACGCAGCGTAATGTACCAAGGCCTCCTCCGGACATCGTACAGGTCGATTTTGTCGGGCGCTTTCCACGGAGATGCTGCAATGCATAAATAACTCAGTGTCTTTGTATAACTTTGTGGTTGAAGAGTTAGTTTACAGTAACAGCAGAGGCAGCTGCTTAAAGCCCCACCTGGATAGTAGCGAGTGACTCCTGTCGCACTCCCAAACGCCTGCCACAGCAGCGACGGATCCTCCCTGCTGTTCTCCATAAACACTCTCTCCAGCGCCTGCGTCCAGTTCAGCTCATTCAGGATGTCTGGAGCTGAGGACAGAAGAGAAAACCTGCACGTAAAATACTCCACAGACACCAGCAAAAACATATATGTGTCTTCTTGTTGATATTTCTAACAAATGAAGAAAATGTGCAAAACCATGATTTGACACATCTTGAAATATGAGACGTGTCTTCATTGTCTTTTTATTTATAATAAACATTAAACATAAAATTTAAATGTGGAAACAACATATGCCATATTTACGAACCATATATTGTCTGTATCAGTTTTCATATTTCATAAATGAAGACAAAAAGGAAGAAAAGACTGAAGGAAGGAGAGAAAGGAAGACAGAAAAATAAGAACAATTTTTCATTACCAGTGATTATACAAGAAAAACACACTTTTAAAAGAGAGATAAATTAGATCCACAAATAAAACGGTAACAAGTATCACAAAAACAATTTCTAGACATCAAAAAGTGGATGCTGCCTTTTTGCTCAAGTAACATAAAGGCACAAAACAAAACTTTAGAGAAGCTTATTAAAGTTCTGATTTAACTTGTGGAGTTTGAATTAATGAAACTCTTAAAGATAACATAGCAAATTCATTATAAATCTTCATTAACAAAGACTTGCTAAATCTCTTGACATCTCAGCTTATTAAGTAAAATTATGTTTACCACAAATATGTCACATAAGAATATTAAGTGAGGAGCAAATCTGCAGGATCCTGCTCTCAAAGTGACATAATGGGAGCACCACTCACCTCCTTTGTAAATATCAGTCGGGATCTGAACTGCAGTGTGCGAGAAGTTGACGTTATTTTTGAAGTTTGGATCGTACACAAACTCCAGTTTGAGTTGGGAGGGGTTTTCCACCTCTGCCTCTCCGTCCATGGAGTACTGTCAAAGCAAGAGTGTAGAAACTGAAGTATAAACTTTACCTTTTCATTGTGATAACTTCTAACTTCTCCTTTGATAGTTCAAAATACAATGTAGGTTAAATGATAAGTTTTTAGATCAAGACAACCTAAAAACAAAGTTTTAAGAGCCATTTAAAAAAAAAAAACAAAGAGCAGAAAGTACTTATAAAAAAATGAATTATGCATTTTTCATCTGCAATATCTATGACTGGAAATATCTCACACTAATAACTGAATGGATCCTTTTCCTGGAAAAAGGCCATTTTAACAGTGATGTATAGAATGGATGTGTGGCCACTTTTTTGCAGCTCGAGGACGTTTAGCTACATAGATCATCTATGCAGGAAACATGCTGTGGCCAGAGATAATGAAACAACTGGAATTAGGGACTTATGGGAAGGAACAACGCAAACCCGAGGGAAAACTTCATGCTATGGCTCAGGGAGGAAACTCGAGCAGGGAGTCAACAGGCAGACCAAAGAGTTAGGTTGGATGTAGACTCTGAGCATAAAATAGATCAGATAAGAAAAGGCATCATTTTTCAACAGCTTTGTCCAATTCCTCTTCAATAAATAACTCGCTCAAAACAAAAATTTGTGAAAATTTGTTTCAGCTGTGACTTTTTTTCTTCTGTGCCTGAGGAAAAGAAAGGAGCGCATTTGAGCGTAGCTGCAGTCTGACTGTCTGTTGGTAATTTCCCTTCAGTCCACCATTTGTTCCATTAGCTTGAACAGGCTTTTTAAATGACAGACATTTCTACTGATTGATGCGATGGTTTCCTAAGGCAAAATGTTTTGACAGCTCCATTACTGGAGAGCAGGAGTAAAATGCAGACCGTTCTGGTGACATGCATTTTTAAGAGGAATGTGTTTGTATCTGCACACAACAGGGTGATATTGCTGGGACCGGAGCAGAAATTGCAACGGCTGGAGGAAAGCTGACAGACTTTGATATTTTGAATTACAGTTTTTGTTGCAAGCGATCATTTTTTTGTCACTCCACAGAGCAGTTTTAAATCCCTGGGTACGGTGCTGGTTTGTTAGGTCTTCAATCTCCTGTTAACAAGGAATACCGATCCAGACTTCCTTCTACCTAAATCAAAGTCTAAATATTTACTCTATGACACCAAATTTAAGCTTGAGGTCATGTTATCATTACTTTTTTTTTTTTTTTCTGGTCGCCAAGTTTGGTGTTTTGAATGTGGCGTCTTCACCAGCTTTTGGTGTTTTCTCAGCTGCCTTGTGCTCCATTTTTTTCCCCTCTTGAACTTTTTAACATGTTCCTCAACTTCAGACATGGAAGCAAATTTGTAGCAAACTACGAGTGTGAACCCAACAGAAAAGGAAAGCCCTGTAATCCTTGTCAGTTTTACTAAATTTGTTTATCCAGCACTTACATATTCCAAATCAGCTTTGGAGTCATAGTAGGCCATGTCAAGCTCCTGCAGGAAAGCAGATGGAGAGAGATGATGAAGGCAGTGAAACGCCATGAGGATGAGCAGTCACATGAATGCACTTGTCAAATGAGAGTCTGGATTCACCACAAAAAAAAAAGGTTAAAAATGATTGCTTACTTACATTTAACTCAAACAGTAAGAACAAGAAAATAATTTTTCCAACACTTTTCCTCTCTTTCCTTTCTGATCTTGTGTCATTCAGGTGCACTGAGGGAACTTAGTGGAGGGAAAATCACAGGTTGGATGAGGATTATTTTACCCCAGACTTATAATATAGTTACGACTACATGCTACTATATGTAATACAAGTTATACAATTTCACATGTAGCCATATGTAACTGTAGCAGCATAGTTACATACAGCAGAGAGATTCCCGTATCCGTGAATACCGGACTGGTTCTCGCTATGTGAATTATTTACAAATGTGTCCTAACACTGTCTTTAAATCCTTCCTTAAATTATTGATCTACTTTAGCTTAGTTGACCCTTTTCTCACTAAACCAAACATATTTGTTGATTTTCCACCAGTTGCCATGAACCAGTCAGTCCATCCACAAACCTTCTCCGTTCTTCTCGCTACTCAAATCAAAGAATGTTTAACAAGTACAAATAAAAAGTTGCTTAATGCCAAAATCAAGCTTTGAACTTGCGATGTTCTTGTTGTTAAAAACTAATATTAACAGTATTAGTAGGATTACAAAGGATGGCATTAGAAATAACTTTTTTTGTTTGCTGTAACTACCAAATGTCCAGCACTGTTTCTTTGCTCAGGTCTGTCACGCTATGATTCAGTGGACCGGCTGTGTGGACCATCACCATCTGTTAGTCTGAGTTTCTGAAAATGCACGACATGCTTCAGCATCTACTGAGAGGTGTTCCTATTTTTAGCTTCTTTCTGATTACCAAACTGTCTGGTCCAAACCCAAACTCAGCAGCTCTCTCAGTCTGCTATTCTCGTGCAAAGACAAAAACAGGAGGAATAAGAGTGTCGAAAATCCCCCCAGAAACATTTGCTGGTTTTTAGACATTACTGTGGATCTCTTCACGCTTTACAATAACTCCATCATTATTTCTACCGCAAGGTTACTTGAAAACTGTATCTTAATGGTCTATAAAGCCTCCTTTCATATCATTTTGATCATTCAACTGAGAAGTAATTGTTGCCTTCAGATGCATTATGTTTGTATTAAAAGCTTAAATTTCCGTTTTTAAGTGCAGTGACAAGTCTTCAAGCTAGCAAATTCACTTAGGTAAAAAAAAAAAATTATAGAACTGACAGGTTATTGTACTTTTATGTTTTCATTATATGCTCTTTAGTAATAAAAGTAGAAAGTCAAGTCAAGTCATAAAGGCTAACTGCAGATTTCCAGTCGTTGGCATGGGTCATTTACATGTGTCAATGTGTCAAACAATTACATTTTAATGTCGCCCCCTTCAACCCCTCAAAAAAAAAAAATCTCATAGCACTTTGCAATTTAAAATCCTTTTAATGAGATGCCAGAGAAAATGTAGGAAATACTGGCTGCTGCCCACCCAGCTGAAGGAAGGTTGCTACTCCTTCGGTCACAAGAAAGACAAATTCAGCTGTTTGGTCAAATTCCTAGTCAAAGCCAATATAGAAATAAATAAAATAGTTTTTTTTTTTTTACAGTTAAAGTGAAAAGAACAAGTGTTTTTGTTTGCAATTTAACATGAAGGAAAGTTAGTTTTACTCCAGGTTACACCATCAGAACTTCACTCCAGCCCATGGATTTTCAAGACAGCATTAGGAAATCATTTGGTATTTGATGGTGTTCATGAATTTTCACTGACTATTTGACTGAAGCAAATAAGTAAGCAGTTTTAATGCCTTTCTGCTTTTGGTTCATTTCAACCATTTAATGAGAAGTCTGCTCATCTACTGGGGAAAGGAATTAATTCATTATTTTCAGTTTTACAAAAACGTTTTTAAATAAAAGTTGCTTCCAACCTACGGCTGATGTTTTGACTTCAAAACAGCTTAATTGTATTTTCTTGATGGCTTTTCCACCTTTTAAAACATTTTACAGCATTAAAGTGTCACAAAATAAACTACGGCCAAAGAGAGTCTAAACACACGACACTTGGCTGTCACTCACTTGTAATAATTTGTAATAATCAGCTGTCATTTACTGCAGTCCAATCAGTTCCTTGCAACAAACAATGCTAATGTGAAAACAATAAATTCAAAACCTAGAATAGTTTGGTTGATCCATTCATTCGTCTGTAAGCAGCTCAATGTCCTGTTTCTAAGGTCAGCTAACTTAAGGAGGAAGCTCAATTCACAATCTTCTTTTTTGAGTAAAAATATGTTTCTTATGAGGAGATGCAGCAAAAAGACCAAAATTTAGGAACCTTAAATACATAAACTGTGACTCTGTTCTTACCTTAAGTCCATCTTGCCATTGATGTTCCCGTTGGAGCCGCTCTGCTTCACTCGCTAAACGCTACACATTTCAGACAAAGAAACGTCACATCACAGCCGAACGTAAAACAACATGTCTAACTTAAAAAATCGGACAATGAAACCACACTTATGTTCAGTTAGTGCTCTTGTTTTAGAGAGTTGATTTGCAATCTACCTTAGTTACAAATAGTCTTTTGAGAAAAAGTAAATTAATCTACAACTTAATTGAATTAGAGGGGAAAAACAAGAATTTTTTTTTTTTTCCACACAAAACTGTTACATCAATTTTGTCCTGTATGAGATTATATCACCCAGGAACAAAACAAATACATAAACCGTGTGTTTGAACAATACGGTATACTTACATCAAGTGCCTTACGCTTCTTTGCCAGGAGTTTTTCTATATCCAAAGCCACCTTTTCCACAATCCTGCGCGGCTCATTCTTCGCCAGCTTGAAGTGTCGCCTTTCTTCATTGTATATCTGTAGGTAATAATATCAAACGCAACAGCAGCCAGTCAGAGTTATTCTGTGGAGTGTTATTTCTGCAAAAGTAATGCATTTTCTGCAGACAACAGGATTTTCATAACTCTCTACAGAATTCATGAAGTTATTTTTGAAAATTCTTATTTCCCGTGTGTATTTTCTGAGCAACAGAAACAAACACTGGTTTTTATTTTTTCCACGATGGATTAGTCTGTAATGCATTAGAACAGTGGTTTCGAAACAAGAGCTCTGTTTCCCCTGAGGGGAGGAAGAGCGAGGATTTCCCCTCAACGTTGATAAACTTGGGCTTTTGGATGTTTGAAAGACTTGGTGGATTACCAAAAACAACATTAGGTATTAAAAGACGGATGCAGAAAGAGAAGAAAACCGACATAAATGCTTCTGTGTCATTAGATCTTTTTGCCTCACGCTCCTATGGAATACTAAAGTTAAATAATTAAATAAAGGTGTTTATTGAGAAATATATCAGGCCTAACCAAAGCATCAATATTTGTAGCACTGACCTTTCTTTTTACAGACTTTTGCAGTTCAGCTTTTCATACTAGATGACAGCTTGTGGCCAAACCTGACGGCTGCTGATGCAGTCTTCTTATTAGAGCTTGGTGGTTTCACACATTGTCCACTGGGTTTTTGTAGAATCATTTACATACATACATGTAAGAGTTGCTCATTATCTCAACATTTTTAAGATGCTTTCAAACCCCCATAACTTCCCTTTGGCTTTTGAATTAAATAGTGATATCGTAACTTTTTTTTCATAATTTTATTTAAAATTAATACTATACACTATGACTAAACTGGAACACATTTTTGTGATAAAAGCAAGTCAACTGAGCAGATGTTTCAGCTTAGCGGTTTTATGATCTTTATGAGGCAATTTGCAGCATGCTAATTCAATCTCAGATTGCTAACCGTGATAAACAACTCGGCCTTAACCTTTTCAATCACAGGATCTGACGTGAGGATGTTCCTTCTCCTCTTCAAAATCGATGTGCAGAAAAGAAAGCTTTGAACAGATGAGCAATAGGTTGACTGACCAAACATGCAGTTTTACATTCACAGACCTCAGCTTTTGTTGGTTACAACAAACACAAAAAAGCCGCGTCATAGCAGACATCTCATCATGAGAGATCTAAACAATGAAAGTACCAGGTGTCCTCTAGCAAGACGAGTCCTTCCACAGGTTACAGGATTTTCTTTTGATGAATCTGTATGGTAAAAAAAAAAGAAGGTGGCAGCACTGTTTTCCTATCTACAGTTGAAAGCGTTTGAAGGGGGAAAAAGTGCATAGGCCAACATCAATACATGCACCTTTATGACAAACCCTGATCCGTTTTTAAAGCTGGTTTACAATGATGGAATATTATGTAGCTTCTTCTGAATGACCATGAGCTTATATTTTCTGTCACAAATCTTAGCTTAGATCGTTTTGAATGCAGCAATTATATGGTGACAGTTTAGTAACACCTTACAGAAGCATAATGTGCTGTGCATGTGTTTTTTTTTGCTGAAATAGAGGGATGACCTATATAGATATTTATCCAAACATCAAAGTGAGAATAATTTTAACGGTAGCCTGAGTTGCATTTCTCATTAATTTGCAGAAACAAAGCTCTTTTTATGACCGAGTGCAGAGCACATGGAGAAACAGAAATGCTTTGTTGCTCAGTTCAATATTTAGTATGTTTTTTTTTATTTATGAATATTTACTCTCTTTTTTTTTTTACACACTTTTAAAAGTGTGACACTCCTTTTTACAGACCATTTGTGTTATGTTGTGAAATACATTTGAGTGAAAAAGTATTTCAACTCTAAGGTCCAAAAAAGCCTCATATACTAAGATCTGATCCATCTGGACAAACTCGTTTTATTGCTAGAAAAATACAAATATATATATTTTTAAAATTGCTTGTGAATGCATATATTTCTTCAGTTCACTAATGTTCTCTAGCAAACCTCAGAGGCCTTCACAAAGCAGATATATTTATGCTGATATCAAATTACACACAGGTGCACGCTATGTACTAACTTGTCAACAACTACTTAACGCATGATTCTTTTTAAGAGTATCAGAGTAACGGAGCAGAATGCAAATACTTTTTAATTTTTAAAACCATCTCTCATTTTCCTTCCTCTTCATAATTACTTGCTGCGTTGCGTTTATCTATAAAATATCAATACAATACATTAAATTCTTAGTGGGTATGAATAGTTTTGCAATGTACTATGGATTTCTAATCCATCTAAAGCAAATATATCTTGTTTTAATGCTGTTTTTAAACCGCACTATGAAATACATCAGTTAACTTTAGATGACCTGAATTACATCCCAGCTATCTCCACAAAGTACTAATCATGATTTCTTACAGCAGAGAGGATTTTATGAGTGACCAGAAGACATGCAGGTTAAATCTTCTACCTTTGGCTTTGTTTCAAATTAAACTCCATCCATTAAACTCCAAATCGAGTTAGGATTAATAATTGAATAACTGCAGGAACCAGTGAACACAGACGAGAGGTTTTTTTTTTTTTAATTATCTCAATTTAAAAATATTCTTGCAATGTACTTTTAATCAGCAATAATTCCTGATGCATAGATTTAAGGTGAAGTTATAAATCATGAATGTATTATGCTGGTTCTCCTTTTTGCCATCAGCATTAATAATTTTACTAATAGTAAAAAAACGGTAGAAACAATGTTCTTTTAAAATCCCTAACGAAGACCTACTCTTTGTCCTGCATATTCGACTGTATTCCAAATAAATGTTCACGCAGAGTTTGCAGTAAGAGGGAGCTTGTGACATATTTGTAAAAAATGACAGGATATTTCCAGCATCTTCCTGAATAGGTTGTTGATTTGAGGTCATCAGACTCTCAACTTCACGAGGAAAACTGTCAGAGGGAAGATGTCATGCAGAAAGAGAGTGGGTCGAGAGGAGCGTGTGGATGGAGTGGCCACAGATTGTGAAAGTTTATTTTTTTTCCCCAATGATTGAATTCCTAATACCGACTGCAAGGCATTCCTCAAGTTTCTGTGCTGACCAGATGCTTTACTGGCCCATGAAACAAAGATGGGAACATGCAGTAATGAACAGGAAGTCTCTGTGAACTGTGTGCCATCTGTGGAGAACTCGGTTCTGCGGAGAATACATTTATGAGCGAGGCAGAGGATGGATGTGACAGAAAGAAAACCTATGATGATGTTATCAGGAGATATCTGCAGTTCCATAACAGATTCTCGTCATAAGATGATAAAAAAAAAAAAAAAATTGTGGTTGCAGAAGAATGAATACTTGGTATACTAGTGGATTCAGAAAAAAAATTTAAAGCACCAATCCTGATTTTAGCATGCACTAATTTCTCAGCAGTTTGAAATTTCTGCTTTGAGTATTTCATGAGACCTTGCAAAGAGGGTGCTGCAACAGCGAGCACCAAATGTTGCAATCATTTCTACACCGAAGTAAACAAAAAATTTATATTTATATAAAAGTGTACTCTCGATATAAATATAAATAAAACAGGCCTCAAGTGTGCGAAACCACACACCATACGTTTTACACAGGATTACTTACTGAATGGAGACAAGTAAGTTACACTCCCCAAAACCCGACATATCTATGAAATACATAGAAATCTGAGAATTTTAAAGGGGTTGTGCTTTTTTATTTACTGATATTAAAAAGGCTTTACTCTTTAAGACATTTGAGATAGACAACAAAAGGCATCTTGATACTGAGCCGAATAAAGATTTTTCTGCTGCAAAGACACTTTCTGAACAAAAAAAGACAAACAGAATAAATATCTCTACTGTAATATATACTTTAAAACATAATATTAAACACGGTTGGCTAGTGATTATAAACAACTATTAAAATATCAAGGTGGATGTAAACATTTGAATGTATGAGGTCATTTATGATTCTTTCTCTCTGCATCTCTGCTGCTGGATAAATAACTTGTAAATCTTGTAGTCTATCAACCAAATATTTCACAGTAGTTTCTGATTTACAAGCTTCTAGCGGAAACACATTTTTGAGAAAACAATCCCTGCCGCAGAGCCAGTTATGTCTCCAGCATCAGTTACCATGGTGACAGACCTACGTAAATTCTCAAGCGGCTTTCTGATAATAAAATCCCAAACTACACATGAAGTTATCTCAGTAAGCCACTAATCCTGTAGGATGTAGGAATTTAGCATAGCGACATTAGCCAATGGCAAAAAAAGAATTAGCATGGTTAGCATACCACATAGCATAGAGGACTTCACGATGATGATATTCTCACTCAAGTTTTTAGACCATAAAGGACACTTGTATTAAATATAGTTTCACCACATGTTTTTAATAATTTACTAGCTACTTTTAGCTGAAATGTAGATTGGCAGCTAAATATATTAAATTTATATATAGAGGGAGTGGGTGGCTCAAACACAGGATTCAATGTTTTATTCCTGGTGTTCCTAGTGTGTGTGCGTGTGTGTGTGTTTTATTTGAAACACTTCCTAAGCCAGGATAAGGATTTTCTTTAACTTATTCAGCGTATTTCAGATGCAAGCGGAGATTAATGAGGACTTAATGAAGAAGCGAGTGTCACATCAAGGCCTTACTGCAGGCTGACCATCTGCTTCGCAGTGACACAAACAAAAAGGACTCGTGGCGATGCTCTCCGCTGAGGCAACGCCCCCACACATCTCTCCAGAGCACGGCTCTCTGGCCTCTTGCATATAATCTCTGATTCTGTTTGTTGGCATTTCCCCTTAGCTGCCCCCACCGTCGCCATCAGGTGAAATACAGAAAATGTTAAATAACTGAGTAAGCACCAGCTGGGACTTCAGCTGCAGTTTCATAGTAAAAAAAAAAAAAAAAAAATGGGGAATGTATTTCTAGCACAGCTCGAACAATTTCCCCCCGACTATTATTTCAAATAATGCTTTAACTACAAAAATAGACAGGATTTGTGTTATTTTTTTTATCCTTTGGAGAGAAAACACTGATTAGAGGACAGATGTGTTATTATTCCTTCAAAGGTTAACTTAATATCCAGATAAAATTCAAGCTACACTTTGAAAGCTTATAATTTATAGGATACAACGTTTCTTACACATATAAAATCAGCTTACAAGTTCACCATTATTTTATGAGTCCTTCTATAACCATAAAATATTACAATGCTCATTACTTCTTATCCCACTAGCTACACATGCTGATGCAAAGATCCCTATATTCAAGAGACATGTATTTGGGATACTTGCTTCCTTTGTGTGAGAGCATCTATTGTATGACTCAGCTGCTTGAAGAGACTGTCTTTGTTGCAGCCAGAGTGGCACTAATTTGTGTTGAAGTGCCAAAAACATTACAGTAAATTTGGTGACTGAGTGTTGCCACCCCAGTGCGAGCATGAAGAGACTGTAAACCTGGCCTGAGGCCAATGGGGCAACTACTGTTTCTTATTCTGCGACCCAGCTTGGTTGGACATATACCATGGAAAAGCCAAAACTACTGTTATGTATTCCCAAATATGGTCCCGTCTTATTGAACCAACGCAATATTGTCACAGGAGTTGTATGCATACTAAAATCAGTTGCACACACAGAATGATGTTACATGGCGAACTCTCAAAGGTCCTGCAGGATCATCCAGGATTGTGGTGGTGGTCTTAAATTAAAGCATTAGCATGTTTTAACTCATACTTTGTCTTTTTTATTATTCTCCAATAGACAGGGGAGTAATGGCAGCAAAACTGGTCTTGAAGCAAAAAGTCACTGATGTCCCAACAAAGCTGGAAAGATCCATAATAATCATATTCTGACTGTTATAAAATGTGGTCATATTGTGAGCTACTAAAGCTGTCTAATTTCCAGGAAATGGCTCGTAGTTAACACCATGAAAAGCTGAAATCAATTTAGAGGATAAGAAGGTTTAGGAATCGGTTTACTATAATGCAATGTCAACATGCATTACATGCAGATTTTAAAGAGTAGCTACTTCTGATGGGGGGGCTTGCAGAAGAAAAATGTCTGATTTGCTAAGCTTGACTGTAGGAGTTAATAAGCTCAAAACATCATGAAGGGCAGTGCCAAATATTCTAAATCTAACCACTGTAGGCGTGCGTCTAGGCATCACTGTAGCGTTGAATAAATGCGTGCAAGAGTGGTAATTACTGAAAACAATAAACACAATGTCAGCAAGATTTGGCTGCACCACCTGAAAAACAAAGCTTTTAATCTGAAATATTCCAAGATGTTGACGAGAAATGTGAGATGACCGTAGATTTAAAAGAAAGTTGTTGCAACTGGCCGTTTGTGGCTCTGCAAGATGGGCTAGAAATACACTCGTGAAAACAAGAAATGAATAAATAAGTAAGAATGTAATTGTTTTGTTGTATTTAATGCAGCTATTCATATGCAGCTCTGGAGCTTAATGGATTCAAGGTTGTGCTGAGTTTATGCTGCTCAGTGATGAGTAAGAATCCGAACCACACACACTCACCCCTTTCAGCTGCTGAACTCCAGTGATGTGCTGAAAGGCTCTGTCAATCTCCTGCTGGATCCGCCTGGCCCAGTGCATTATCCTGTGGATAAACATCAGACGCTGACTTTCACACTGCAAAAGAAAAACTGATTAACTGGATACACGTGTGTCGGTGGCTCCCAGGAATGACAAGAGACGGATCAGAACAAGCAGTTTCACATGACGACTGATGCACAGACACAGTTTTTTAAAAATGTGCTTCATTTACCCAAATCGAAACTATGCAAATGCCTTCAGTGAAGTAGATTTTAATGCTGTAGCCCATTTCAGAGTCTCAATTTAGGCACTAAAAATATGCAGCTGCAATAAGTAAATGTGTTGCTTTGTCATTGTGTCTGATGTTTTCTTTTATCTAAAGTATCTCTGATGTGGCTTGGGTTGAAGTGCTTTATAAATAAAGCTGCTGCTGATGAAACAATTAACACGCAATTCATATTTATGAGAGCAAAATTAATTATTGATTTATAAGCCAAATTACAAATCAGAAAACAGCAGAAACTTAAAGGAATTTGTATAACTTTATTCACTAAAACCCCACTAAATAGGGTTAGCTGACTTATATGTATGGATAAAAAAAGTATTTCCTGAGCTAAAGAAAAAAAAGCACAAAGGTCCATCCCCAAAATGCAGTTCACCAAAAACATCTTAATAATCCCCCAAGCCTTTTCAGGAAAATATGAACTTATGGGGTGAAAGTAGAGGTTTGTGGGAGGTGTGCATCCTGTCACACTTGGCGGTAGCAGTGAGGTGCTCTTAGGCTTCTTTGCTGTTCAAGCCCAGAACAACTTGCTGTAATTTATGTAACCATAAATACAGCTCACCAAGTTCACCTCTCAAAACAGAAATGAATGTTTTGGATTTGAGTAAATTAAAAATTCAGTCTGACTGAAATACTGTGGCATGACCTTGTTTCATCCTCCCAACACCAATGTACCTGATTCATTGCTGCAATTATCAGAAATGGTTGATGACAGTTGTTGCTCCGAAGGGCGGCAAAAACTCGCAGTTTTCGCAGTCATAATGGTTTATTTTTCCCTGATGAATGAAATTATTTAAAAACTGACTTATTTACTCGGGGTATCCTTGATATAAAGAATGTTTGACACAAAATATGAAGTAAAAGCAAATGAGGTGCAAAAACAGATGAGGTGCGTTCTCATGGTTAAATGTGCAAAAATGAGTTTATGAGGTAAAAAGAAAGAATTCTGCAATAACAAAGGATTCCTGCTGTTTCCTACAGAGAGAAGCAACCAAAAATGGAGGAAATCTGAATCCACCAAAAATGTTCAATAAAAGGAAAAGCTGGGGTCCGAATGGCTTTGTTATTTCTAACTTGGGGGTAGAGTGAAGTACATGTGAGTGGTAGGGTTCTTGTTAAAAATGTGAAGACAGAGATTTCAGTTTGGCCAATCAGAGAAGATTTCTGACATGTAAAGCAACTCAAAACTTAGCAATGTGCCCTACAGATTCACCTTTATATGAAAGAGATATAAACTTCATAGCACGGTCTTTACTCCTTTATGAATTTGCATGGAGAACAAACTCTAAAACAGACATTCATTGGTGTAAAAAATTACAGTGAAGTATTTGGTAGGAAGTCATGGGTATGAGGAGTTTGCATGTATAATTTCTCAGAGTGGTCTATTAGTTTCATAGACCACTCTAAATCAAACCTGAGTGTTTGCATGCAAAATGTAGCATAAAATTGTTGAGGTTTGAGTTGTTTACTCATAAATTGGCTACTCATCAGTACACCATACAAGCCTGTGTTGGAAAAAAGCTCAACTGACTCAGGAAACCAACCAGTGATTGGTTGAAATAAGATCTTGTAGAGGCTCATGAACTGCATCACTCACCCAGTTATACCTTTATGGCGTCCAGATGGAAAATATTTCTCATTAAATGCCACATGGCACCCAAGAGGTCTGAAAATACTGGCAGCGCCGTACATATAGTCTGCCAACCTATCAGAAAAAGTGAAGCCCAACCTGTGACTCACCCTGGCAATGTGTCATCCATTCCTGGAGTGCTATTTTGGTAATCTATAGTTGTGGAAGGCCAATTTATTTTTCTATGGACAAAAGTATGGAACTTGCTACTGGGACGCTGTGGCTCGATAGGAAGAGTAGACGTCTTGCCATTGAAATGCTGCTCGACTCCTCTGTAGCATGTTTATGTGTCCTTAACGCCAAGTTATCTACTGTATGTGTGTGTGTGTGTGTGTGTGCTAGCAATTATGTCTGGGTAAATGTAGCTCTAGTGAAAAGTGCTTTAATTAGTCAGTAGGACTACAAAAGCACTGTCTAAATTCAGTCCATTTGCAACAATACTGAGCATCTTCAATAATTTATTGATTTATAAAGTGCTTTAAGATATCCAAATGAGACCAGTAAAAATCATAGCACTGAAAAGGTTCACAGAAAACAAAATGATAAAAAGAAATAATAATAATAATAATAATAATAATAATAATAATAATAATAATAATAATAATACATTACAAGCTTCTCAAATCAAACACTTCTTTAATTTGGCATAAGAATCCAGTATAAAAAAAATAAAAAAACAGGTTGATGGCCGCACATCTTATGATGTTTGTTAATAGACCGACGTTGTATTTTGGACAAGCTGTAAGCAATATAAGCTCAACTGGGGGTCCATATGAAAAAGAGTATAGCTAGAGTCGCTATACGCTGGAATGGCATAAAACAAAACGTACTTGTGTGTTAGAACGACCTAGTCAAAGTCTAGAACTAAATCCTATTAAATATCTGTGGAAAGATTGCAAATGGACCAAAAAATAAATAAATCTCACTATCTGTGAGCAAAGCTTTAAAAGACAAGAATCAAAATATTTGCAACTGCAGCAAAAGGTAGCTAAAGCTTGGGCAAGGCTATGGAAGAAATTCCATTTCAAACTTTTCAAACATGGATCTGTAAACACGTAACACGTAAAAGTCATAAAATACTCAGTAGATTCTCACTCGTTTAGTTTATGCACACAGCTCATTTGTGCTGTCTTCATATATAAGGCAGGAGCACCAGCACTTCTTACAGTGGCCTGCAATTTCAATGCAACCCACACATTTTACACATCAAATCAGAACAATCCTGCAGTGTAAGAAATCACGTCTTTTATATTTAACATCATCTTGAGGTGTGAGCCACGAAGAGAGGAAAACACAAAGACGTTTTAAAAGACAGATTCTGTCATTCTGTCCTCAACAAAAACACAGTTATGGAGAATGTTGGATCCTGCATCGGTACAGGTGAAGAACTCCTTCTAATGTCGTTCTCTTCCACAGTTTTGACCTTTATTTCCTAACTGAGAAGTGAACATAGTTGAGCTTTTTACTTTATGATAGTTCAGTCAGGAAGCGCAGCTGCATGGCCAGGGAATCACCCCGGCTGCTTTAAGTGCCCAGAGAGTGGATTCATTATCAGTCAGACAGCTTGGAGCAGAGTTACAAGACAACATAACGGATTAATGCCTTGCTGGGCTTGTTCCTACTGTCAGACGGGGCACAAATCTTCTCTCTGCTGCCTATCTCCACAGAAAGATACAGCCTTTTGAATGTTACAAATCATCCCTCCTCTCATTTTCTATTCTAAACTGCAACACAAAAGTTCAGATCTGATCATGAGAAGACTTGCTCTATTACAGTGTTCTTGTTTTTTTACATTCTTTGCAAAAAAGGACAAAAATAGGAGAGCAATGTGAAACTCAACCTAGGATATTTTTTTTAACTCTATCTCTCTCAATGCTCATTGTGAAGACGCAGCTGAATGTCTTCGCAGTGCACGATTTAAAAGTGAAACAATCTTTAGCTCGAGGCGACTGAGGCAGCAGGAGAAAAATAACAAGAAATGCTTTAAAAAGAGCTGCAGCTGAAAACATTCCCTTCGCCTCGCAACACAATATGAAGCAAAACTGAATATTTTCTGGATAACACTTAAAAAAAAAAAACATCCCAGTCATAATGAGGTTTAGTTGTTAAGCGTTGATCAAAGAAAGTGCAGCCCACACTAGCTGATCAAATCAAAACATTCAGTAAATGATAACTGAGTTTTCTAACCCAAATCCAGACATCTGTGGAGCATTTCAAGATACCACTGTTATTTTCAGGTGTGATGCTCATTAAAAGACATGCGAGCAGAACTGTAGGTCTACTCCATGTCACACTGCAGAGAGGTGTTCACGTTATTGAGCGAGGGCTTGATTTATAATGCATAAGAGCCCAGGGGCCAACAGAGGTTCCTGACAATATTTTGAACTGCAAGAGTTACATAAAAATGAACAGTTCAATAATGGGTAATAAATAATAGATTTAAGAAAGAAGAAGCCAGCTGTAATTGCCCCTGGGCTACACCTTTGATATGCCTCTCAACATGCAAAATGTGAATTACAGAATACATGCGCACATAGAGAACTCATATTAGCACAAGACCTCATACCAACGTTGTTTTGCAGTCAAACAGTGTGAACATATACCCTCATCAGCCACTTTATTATCTATGCTTTTATTTAATTTATTAACTGTGCAGGTTAGTACTGAGTTGGACCTCTTTTTTTCCAGAACTGCATTAATTTTAGATGGCACAGATTGAAAGAGGTGTGAGAATAATTTGTCAGCTGCATGTCCATGGTATAAATCTCCCACTCCACCGCAGCTCAAAGGTACTCTTAACAGACTGAGAGTAAAATGAGCTTATTAAGATGATTTGAGCCATAATGAAATGGGTGCACTGCAGTCTTAAAGGGGTGGATGTTTACAGAGTTGGTGCTACAGGGCCCAAAGTCTGCAAATAAAATATTTCCAGCACAACTGCACCACCAGAAGAAGCTTGAAATGTTGATAGAGTGCCAGATTCCCTCATGGGTTCATGCTGTTGAACATTTTAACCGTACCCTCTGAATGTCATTGCTCAAACTGAGACGAATCAGATAAGTCAACATTTTTCCAATCTGTTATCAGTCTTTTTCTTTAGCTTGTGTGTATTTTCCCCCTCAGATTCCTGTGACGTCTGGTTTGGTCTCCT